ACTTCTAAACCAAGCTCTGGCAGCTTGTTTAAGACCATATACGACTTTCTTTAACTTACAAACTTCACCTTGATTATGAGAAACACCAGGGGGAGGAACCATATAAACTTCTTCTTAAAGGTCCCTATTCAAGAAAGCATTTTTAATATCCATTTGAAAAATATGCCAATGACTAATGGAAGCAACTACAATAAGAGTATGAATAGTGGTCATATTAGCAATAGGAGAAAAAGTTTCTTCATAGTCCATGCCATATTGTTGGAAAAATCTTTTAGTGGCCAAATGAGCTTTGTATCTCTCAACAGAACCATCAAACTTGGTTTTTGATTTTGAATATCCAATGAGAGCCAATTGTAGATTTTCCTTGAGGAACAGAGACAATGTCTGAATTATTTGTTTTATGCAAGGTAGAAAGTTCCTCTACCATAGCCTATTGCCAAAAGGGGTCAAGCATAGCCTCTTGGTGGGAGTGGGCTTAGACAAATTGTGGATAGAAGTACAAAAGAAAAAATAGAAAAAGCAAAGCAAGAGGAATAAATAAAATTTGGTAACTTAATGGGCTTACACTCTCATTAAGAATATTAAGGAGAAGGATCCACAACCACAAAGGATTCTTAGGAAGTTGTAGAGGCAAAGAGGACATCTAAATTTGAAGAACTGCTAGTGCCAAACCTGCAAAACTCAACATCAAAATTATTTGAATTCAAATTTGGTGTGAAACCTCCCTCCCCCATGTGCTACCATGTGCTCTTGCATCTAGGAAGTTAGGCTATTGCATTTACATGTGATTTTGGAAGCATTTGAAGTTGAATTTGGTGCATGCCATGTGTGCCACCCTTGGCCAGTCACATGGTGCCCAAATGCAATTCAAATGGCTTCTAAATTACACTTAAATGTATAACCTACTCCTAAGTAGGCCTACATCCTATCTAATGGCCCAAATACATAACCACATAAAGCTTAACCTTACTAGCCCAAAATACTAGGCTTAAGGAAAATACAAAACACAACTAAAACATTATTAAGAAAGGTTTGGGCTTAAAATCATGTAATACCCCAACTGAAAATTAATATGGGCCTACCTCCCTCTAAACTAGCCCTACCCTTTTGGGCTCTCCTTGTCATAACTCTTGTAGTAGGTCTCTTGGCGCATGCTCTTCCATCACTTTAATACCTGCAAAAGAAAGTAAAATGCAAGCATTAGAAGCATTGTTTTCTTTATGGTTAAAGAGGCTTAGCTTATTTATCCTCTCCAAGTGTGGGATGGACCTATCCTTAAGGATTTTTATTTTCTTAGGGTCCTCTTAAATCCCTTTTACTCTATAAACTTAAACTAATTTTTTCAAGTTTTTCTAAAGTAGATTTTTTACTATATTCCAAAAAGATTTGTCTTGGATATCTTTTGTGATCACCTAGGTACCTAGAAACTAAACTATTTACAACTAAAAGTCCTTGACTTCCTAAGGATTAAGGTGATCTAGAGTCATCGTAACTAAGGAACTTCTTAGGAACAAAAAGTTGCCCTCAAGATTGGAAGGCTTGGAAAAGAGCATTGAACTCTTGATTATATAGGTGGGGTAGTTGAAAGTGGCACCAAAAGAAGTTATTTTCAAAGAAGCAATAAGGTGTTTACCCTTCAATAAAATAGCACCCATACCTAATCCATATGCAAAATATTTTAGCTCCAAATATTTGAAAATGTTAGGAAAAGCTAAAACTTATGCATCAGAGAACTCATTTTGTGTGGATTGAAAAGCTTGCTCAAGCATCTCTTCCCTAAAGGAAGGAAGAATGTTCTTTACCAACTCATTGAGTGGTGGAACAATTGTTTGTTCAAGTTAGAGAGTCTTCTTGATTTCACTTTTAATAGAAAAGTGACTTTTTCTTAATAACCTTTTAAAAAGAAACATCTTTCTCCTTTTCACTCCTCTCACCATTTAGGTTTTTCTTTCTATTTTATTTTGCTATTTTATTTTTCCATTTTAAGTTTTATTTGCATTTGATCCTTGTAAACACCCAATTTCGTCCGGGGTACCTAAACCAAGGACAAAGGTCTACTTGAGCGAGACAAACAACCCTTAAGGGGCCCAACGCATCGGGCAGTAGTTTTGTTATACCAATATCTCTCGTTACAAAACTAATTTTGATGATCCAACTGTTGAGATTAAAGATCAGTGTATTGAGAAGATATATCAAAATTCCAGCATGATCCAACGGTTAACGAGTTCTCTAGAAGCCTCGCACTCCAGCTAGAAAAAGTAGCACGTATGGCCCCTAAGGGCCCAATAAAGCACCTAAACGGGCCAAGATGGCTCCGGAAGGCCCAAAAAACTCAAAAAAATTGATCTGGGACGTGGAAAAGTCGTTCTCCAATTGAAACGGGCCGTTCCGAATGTTGGAATAGCCCATTCCGAAACCGAAACGGCTCATTCCCCTTTTCAGAAAATTTTGTGTTGGGCATCATTTTAGTTATGATAATATCTCTCTCTAAAGACCTAATTTTCATGATCCGACCGTTGAAGTTAAAGAAATGTATTAAGAAGATAGCATCAAATTGTAAGGATGATCCAACCGTTAATTATTTTTCTAGAGGCCTCGCATTGCAGCTAAAAAATCTGAATCCTATACAAGACAACATTTGTGTTATGATATTATCTCTCACTACAAGCCTAATTGCAATGATCCAACCGTTGAAATTGAAGATCAATATATTTTGAGGATATCTTAAAAACATCAGCACGATCCGACGGTTAACGAGTTCTTTAGAGGCCCTGCATGGTGCCTAGGAAAAGATTATATTTTTATATAATTTAGTCTCACATAAGATAGTTCTCTTATGCTTCTGTCTCCTAGTTGGCTATATAAGAAACCCCCTGTCCAAGGGATTAGAAAATAAGAAAAATTGCATAGCATCTCCCTTCTCTATATTAACCTTTGAGTGATAGTGAGGTTTTTGTAGAGCACGCACCCCGCACGCATTTGGGAAGAGAAGATTCCCTTATAAAAGGTTTGCTTTAAAAGTTCTAAATTCTTCTCTTTTATTTATTCTTTTACTTATTTTATTTATTATTTTATTTATTATTTTATTTATTATTTCATTTATTATTCTATTTATTATTTTATTTCTTTATTTATCATTTTATTTATAATTCTTATATACTAATAAATAATCATGTAGATAATATTTTTTTTTGTCATGTAAATAATATTAAATAATAAAAGGGGATAAGATATTTAAAATATTATTTATTATTATGTTAATTTCATCATACCTCTATTTTAATTTCAAATCTTTTCTTTTTCCAATGTTTTGAGTAAAACATTGGTGGCGACTCCATGAACTCATTTTTCAAAACCATTATTTGAAGATTAGTCTAGGGTTCGGGCATTCCTTAATTAATGAGATTTTTCAAAAAGGTAATCCAAACCATTGATCGTAAGATTAGAATTTTTCGAGTTACGACAATCCTCTTCCACTTCGATAGGTATAAGAGGATGTAATACAAATTTATTATCCTTGTGTGTGAAGGATATTTCATTAGTAAAATCATTATGTATGAACTTCATATCAAATTGTCATGGCCTTATTAACAAAATATGACAAGTTTCCATGTGAACTACATCACATAAATCCTTGTCTTTATAATTCCTAATAGAAAAACTTAACCTTCACTTATTGATTTACTACCATATCCTCCTTTTCATTAACCCATTGAAGTTTGTTTAAGTTTTTTGATGAGGAATGGTAGTGGGGGTTAACTTAGCAATCAACCTTGTGCTACAACAATTATAGCTTTAACTACTATAAACAACAAGAGAACAAGTTTGTTTTAAAAATTTACATCTTATATGAAAGATGTTCTCTCTTTGTGAAGTGTTAATTTCACAAGGTTGGCTTCCAAATAGCCTTTAAATCAATAAGAGTTCATCATCACAAGGATAGGTTTCCTCTCCATTAGAGTTTTCTACCCTTTCTTCTTCACTACCACTAAAAGTGGATGAAGAATCTTGACTACTATGGTGGACTTTCTAGTGGGGCATTGAAAGGCTATGTAACTTTTCCATAGACACTTAAAACATTTAATACTACTAGTCTAGTCTTAAAGTTAGTGTTAAAGGGTTTCTTTCTCTAGAGAGGATTATCCTTGATCCCCCATTTCCTTAGATGGTTTACTCTCGGAGTGACTCTTAGAAGAATACTCCTCCTCTCTATGGTCCTTTTTATGATGTGAAGATGATGTTGACGAATCCTTCTTATTAGAATTTTTTCTCAATAATTGTTGCTTTACTTTGATACACAATTGGACAAAGTCATTAAGGTCCCTATATGGCAAGAGCTCAACTTTATTTCTAATTTCAATGCTTAAGCCTTTAAGAAACCTAGCTGTGGTGATTATCTCTTCCTCCCTTATACTCACTCTCTGCATGTATAATTCCACCTTTTGTCTACATTCTTCCACATTCATATTTTTTTTATGGAATATTTGGAGTCTATCCATAAAATCTCTTTCATAGTAGAAGGTATATGCCTCTTTCTCATAACACTCTTAAGACCATTTCAATATTTAATACTAGGCTCATTGTAGAGCCTTCTCTAACGCTCTAAGGAAACCCACCAATACGTAGCAAATACCCTTAGAAGTTAAGGGTTGTTAGTGCAACCTTTCTCTCTTTACTCACTTTATTGTAAGTAAAGAGTTGTTCTACTTTCATTTTCCAATCAAGATAAGCCTCGACATCCTCTTTCAATTGAAAACGAGGGAGATCTACCTTGGATTTCCTTACTCTATATTCTTTCTTGGGTCTATGAACTCAGGCTCACTATGGTAGTAGTCATCTATGTGAATGCTATTTTCATGATGACCGAAACTAAGACTCTTGAAAGAGCCACTACTATGTGAGCTAGTACCATGTCTTTTCTTGTTTTTTCTTTTTTAAGAGTTTTTGTTGTTCTTTAAATGCTCTATACGTGTTTCCATTACTTCCATCCCTTTCGTTTTTTTTCTTTTTCTAACATCTCTTCCTTTTTTCCAAATTAGATGAAAGCTTATAAGTTATAAATTAGGAATTAAAAAGCTAAAAGCTTATTAGCTAATTGATTAAATTAAAAGTATATGATAAAATTACAAAACCCAATTTGATCCCTTAATTTTTTAATACAATGCAGTGTGATTATTTTCGTCCAATTATGACTAACAACATTAAGTTCTTGTACACATAACACAAGAAGAAAATGACACCTATCGCTGTGTACAAAAATTATACTTCGTTAGTCTCAAATGGACAAAAAATACTACATTGTATTGTTTTAGAAAATTAAGGAACAAAATTAGACCTTTTAATAGATGAGAGACCAAATTGAAAAAATTAAGAGGCCCAATGGAGTAATTTAACCAAAACAAAAACCATGTCCATAGGCCATAGCCTTTTACTAGTTATATTTACATAGCCGCCCCTACAGTAAAAACCGGAGGACAAACATTTAAGCATAAGCTGTAAATATCCTTCTCTCTTCAAGTGCAAGTTTCCTGTGTAGACGTTCTTGGTGCTCAATAAATGCCAAAAACAAATCCCTCATATTACTAGCTATCTTGAATTCCTTAGTTCCTGAACGTACAACCTTCAAATTGTTGCTCCTTCCACTCTTTCTTTTCTGCAATATTATGCAAAAACAAAATCATTATCAGTTACCGAGGAAACATGTAGAGAACTGCTATGGATTATTATTACCATCTAAACAACTTCCAAAGTCCCCTATTGCACCTACTAAACTAAAATTGTTGGTACAATTAATTTTTCTAAAACTATTGACTTAACAAATTATAATCAGATTTTCAGAAACAAAGGATAGCATGGCTAGTATTCTCATTATCTGCACAGCGCCTCAAGTGAATTGAGTACCCCTACAATGAAAGACTGATCAGTGTACTTGTTAAATTTAGTGATTTTCCCAGTGTCTAAATTGACCACGTGGAAATTTGACTGTGGGTGCCCCTAAAGTCTTGACCAATTACCATACTCCATTACTTGGGCCATAAAATATTCTTTTGTTGTCAAAAAGGAGAAAAGAAATTTGGGTATGAAACCTACCTCTGATATATGCATCAACGTTCCTATTGATGCTTTAATATTTTTTAGCCCCACTAGTTTTTCAAGTATCACCCAAGGCCTAAAAACGACAATGAAGAGATTAGTTCTAAATAGCAAATGAAAACAATCTTATTCACACATAATTTTGTAAGCATTGATGGTTAAATTATTAAAACAAATACAGCCATAAGAAATTAGGAAGCCTATTTTCAAGGTTAAGTTGATACGTTTCACAATAACAATGAAAAACCATAGTAGATTGCGCTTGAAATTTATAGGCCAGACATTTAAGAAGTTAAGAATTATACATGCAGAATACCTGCCAGTTGAAGATGTTATGATGCAGTTGGGATTACTCAAAAAGTCACACAACTCTTGGAACTCTTTTTCAGAATCCACCATAAGGGCTCCCCTGGTATATACCTCAAATGACAAACTTGGAAATATGAAGACTCTAGCTGATATAGAAGTATGTTTCCGTAAGAAATCTGTAATTGTCAATGGACATAACTCTTTATCGATATTTGCAATCAATATCATACACACATTTTTTGTTCCTTCAAGATCCTCATCTTCCATTCTTCTGTCATGATAGCTGACTATAAACCAAATAAAAGGAAATTAAAAACCAAACGAAATCAAAGGAAAAATGGTTAGAAGATTTATATTATAGAACATCATTGTACAATTACAAAGAGAAAAACTAATAAATCAGAACATCAAAATAAGAACACTAGCTCAAAAACGGATGCACACATTCAGGCATCAGTCTCTCTCTCATTTTTCTGCATTCTCCTCACACTCACTGAGTACCATTTCTCCTGAAGCATGCCTACTCGTGTCTTACATTCTTTTCTTCTTCAACACCCACCTTACATTTTCTTTTCTGCTCACACTCGCAGCAAAGCACAATCATCACACTCTTCTCTGAAGCAGTGAGCCCAACCCAGCACTCTCCTTTTTTTTCCTCACCCCATATACAGCTTTCTCTCATTCTGATAGAGTTCTACTTCTAGCATTCTTATTTAGAGGATTGCTAGATTATTTTGTCCCATTATGCATTTGATTTGACAGTTTGGTCACTTAATGAATGTAGATTGCTCCATCTAGGATCAAACCTTTGCTTGAGGTTTTGGCTTTGTTGAAAGTATTGCTAAAGTAATGGGCCACCAATGAAACATTGAAACCTCATGTATATGGATATCTGGAAATTATGTTTTCTACTGTACTTTGGAAGCCCTTGAGCAAATAAGTACCACTGTAACATGTATAGTGTTGGCTTGGAGCAAAGTTTTCCACCTTTCTAGTGATTAATTTTAAAAGGCATTTTATATTTGCTTTAATTCAGTATTCCATCTCTGCTGTCAACCATTGAAGACCATTTACTAGACTGCATGTCTATGGTTCTGTCTAAATCCCATTATCATCTGGGGGAGGGTGCAAGGGTGCTCAAGCTCGCTAGACCTCTGCCAGAATAACAGAAAGAGCTGTGTGGGATGAAGAAAAAACTCAGTGTGTGCTAGGTTGGGTTCCCTGCCTAAGAGAAGAGTGTGATGATTGTGCTTTGCTGTGAATGTGTCAGCAGGAAAGAGAACACGAGACAGTAGTTGTGCCTTGGAAAAAATGGTAGTCAGTATGCTAGGAGAATTTGTGAGAGAAAAATGAGAGGGACCAGGACCTGTGTGCACATCAATTTTTGAGCAAGTGTTCCGGAAATTAGTTTCCTTTGAATGTATTAAATACATTCCAGAAACTATTTCCGGAAAGTTTATTTGTTATCAAATTGAATCGGATTTTTAACATCCAGTAAGAACCTATTTTAGTAAAACAAAATTACAAAAAACACGACAGAATGTACAAGTTAAAAAGGTGCTGCAAATAGCAATCCTATGATGAGAACCATCAAAATTCTGAAAAGCAGGAAAAAGTTTTTGAAGCAAAATCCAGGGAGTTGAATCCACTTCTAGTGTTAACCTATACTATTACATAGAAACAAACCTTCTGGCGAACATGTTTCATTGCCAACAGACAACCTAGCACGTCGGGTTTTCTGTAAAGAGGAATATATTATAAGATATCATGTACCGAACACATCGAAGAATAGAAAATTCTCCTATAGAGTTATTAGTATAATTTTCTCAACAAGCAAGCTAATGGAAAGGACTCATGATTACATAAAGATGCATATGCTACTTGCCTTTAACATTCGTCCAAAATAACTCATTCTACCAGTAGTGTTTGAGTTTTTGTTGCAGTACGGCACCATTTCGAAAGCAGAAACTCCCTTTGACACTGAAACAGAACGATATATGATTAGGAAGAGATCAAGTTATGACAAATCTATGAATATCATATTGTTCATAATTTAAGGCTGTAACAATAGAACAATGTATGAGTAAAAAATATCCAAAGGAAAAAAAATGCCCCAAAAAACATTATTTGCAAGGAAATTTATCAGTTTGACAAATAAAGCAAAGACCAAACATCAAGAACTAAAGAGCAGAGAAAATGTTTGCTAGAGAAAATGAACAGCAGATCAGGGAAGGAGATTCAAATACACCTAGACAACCCAAATGCATAAGACACAAGTTCTTAGCAGTGGATGTACCACATTTTTCATTTCATGCCCAATAACCATAAGTCCATTCAAATTGAGTCACAGCTCATTCTAAAACAATGGGCCAGGAGGTCAATTTTGAACCACATTGTGAGTTGTAATTCCAACAATTTTACCATGTCAATGTCACAATGTCAAATTGTACCAAAATACAATCCTACCTGTTTGCCAGTCAGGTAGAATTTGACTCAATTCAACAGGTCTAGTAAATAAAAACATGTGATCCTTGACAATGACATGTGACTTTGATAACTACGGTTTACAAATCCCTCACAAAGTCCGATGGACAATCATATGAAGAGAACCATAAAATTATCTGAAAAAGTAAGAAAATGTTCCTGAAGCAAAATCCAGGGAGTTGAATCCACTTTTAGTGTTAACCTCTACTATTACAAAGATACAAACCTTCCGGTGAACAAACATTGACAACAGACTGCCTACCGCATCCTGTTTCCTGTAGAGGGGCATACTATAAGATCATGTCAGGCACTTAACACATCAAAGAATTGGAACCTGAACTGTATGACTATTATTATAATTTTCTCAGCATGTAAACTAATAGAAAGTGTTCGTGGTTAAAAAAATATGAATATATTACTTGCCTTTTCCTTTTGTTCAACATAGCCTATTCTACGAGTAGAGTTTGAGCTTTTGTTGCAGTACGACACCATTTCAAAGCCTGAAACTCCCTTTGACACTGAAACAGAACGAGAAGAAAACAATTCGATTTTCTCCCTCGCCATCTCAAGAAATGAAGTCACTACAGGATCTAGCTCCCATGCTGGCTGAACTACACAGATATTCTCAATTGGTGCAGCAGTCAAGTTTCTTGCATTTGGCCCATGCAACCAGAAAAGTATAAAGGTGCACAAGCATACTTCCTCTTCTGTTTCCCAAGAATGCTCGCTTTCTTGCACCTATGCAAGCACAAACTATATCAAAAGTACATAAAGATATGGTGCAAGCAATTCAACCCAGAATGTGAAAAAAAAAAAAAAAAAAAAAAAAAAAAAAAAAATAAATGATTAACAATTAGAGAGCACTAGTAAGATATTTGAAATATGACATCATGAATTAAAGTTATTAAAATGTTTACCTCTCCACTGGATACATATATCGATAATGCACTGGGCCTCCAAGTTTTGCTTCCTCTATGAGATGAACAGTTAAATGAACCATAACTGTGAAAAATGACAGAGGGAATAACATTTCTAAGTGGCATAGTGTAACCACAACGCGATCTTGGAGCAATTGAAGTTCTGGAATATTTAAGCCTTTACCACAAAGCATTCTAAAAAAAGAACAAAACTCCACTAAGACAGAAGTCACATGGTCTGGCAACAAGTTACGAATTGCTAGTGGTAGCAATTGTTCCATAATAATATGGCAATCGTGACTTTTCAACCCAGATATTTTGTTAAGTTTCTCATCAATACATCTGGAAATGTTACTTGAGTAACCATCTAGCACTGTAATAGTCTTCAAAGTTTCCAAAAATAACTTTTTGGTATCGCGAGTCAGTGAAAACAAAGCAAGGTGATATCTTCCATTATCATCTGGCCAAAGATCATGCCTTAAGCCCATTTCTTTTAAATCTTTTCGAGCATTAAGGTTGTCTTTTGATTTATCCTTCTCATGGAGCAATGTATACATCAAATTGTCACATACATTTTTCTCAATATGCATAAAATCTAGATTATGTCGCAACAAATTAGTCTCCCAATATGGAAGTTCAAAAGAATATGCTTTTTTTATTCCACTGTGCAGTTTCTTGTCTAGATCTTTTTATTGTTCCATTTTGAATGGCTCCACTTCCAAATGTAATATTAATATGTTCCACTTGTCGAAAAATGTCAGATCCAGATAATTTTAATGGTGGGTTTCGTTCTTCTGTGTTTCCATTAAAACGAACACGATTCAATCTAAATTTATGATTTCTGCTTAGAAAACGACGGTGACCCATAAAACACCATTTTTTTACAATTATTAAGGCGACAAGGTTCCGCATCAAAATTGCAAGTCGGGCAAGCCAATCCTGTGTGTGTGCCTGTTCTTACACTTCTTCTCTGTCCAAGCTTTCTTTTTATTTATTTGTTTATTTTTGCATGTCACTGAAATTTGAAAATTTCTGTTTATTTTCAAATTTTGGTTTCAAATTTTTTTTTAGTTCATGTTTCTCGTCTTTGGTGTTTTACATGACAATTGAATTTTGGGTAAAGAAGAATGACATACACAGATTAATGTTGTGTGTATGTTTTTGTTTTAGCCTAGACAATTAATTGATTATGTTTTCTTGTGGGTTTAGTGCATTATTTAGCGGTGAAATCAACAAGTTGGAGGAGGAAAATAACTAATAATTTAACTTAATCACCATCATCTAACTAACCAAACTCAACCAATGAGCCATGTGATAGTACCTCCCAGCTGGAGGATGTGTTTCTAGCATTGCAACTTTGGATGAACAATACATATATATTAATATATATTAATAAAAACAAAAAACAGTAACTGCAAAATACAACTATTTATGCTGTAATTGGAATTGGCTAGAATTAGCATAAGTGAAAAAGAATTGAGTTTTAATTTAAAATGACTTTCACACTAACCTCTATCAAAGGATCCACCTATGGCCTTCTTTTTTTACAGGATCTAGTATCTCTGTAGAACAAAGGAAAATGGTTAAAAAATAAACAATAATCTGAGGTAAAATTGCATCAATGGTAAAAATAGCTTTCATTGTCAAATTCTAATTAGGATATGCACTAACTTATTATATGCATTAAATTAATCTTTAATAAGATGGATTCAATTAGGGATGCTTAGGTATTTGATTCCATTTTGAAAAAAGCAAGACAGTAATTGGATAAAGGTTCCACCTGTCTGTTAAATGTGACATAAGAGTGAAGAAAAAGGATAATTTGTTGGATATATCATACCTTTAAAATTGTTTCAAAGCAATCATCAAAATAAGCTTTAGGTACACCTGAAGGTCCAGACCACCTATCATAATCCATAGGAAATAACTTGCAATTAGCAGCCAATGTTCCAAGAAATCCAGCAAGCAAGGCTTGTGCTTCACCAGTTGCTTGGCCTTGGTCATCAAAATCGACAATGATGCGTAACTCCCTAGGTAAGCTATTGACTCCCCTAACTTTCACCTTAATCTTCTTAACAGTGTCTTCAGAGTCTTAAACAATAAAAAAACTTAATAATAAGAAAATTTGATATAGTTTATATTATAATAATTATAAGTGAAAATACAATACTTATATACCTATTGCCTCAACAGTCCAACATTGTGTAGACTCACGCCCAACATGAAGTCTAGTAGTCTCATCTTCTTATGGAACTTCAGAAGTTGATACATGAGAAAGTGGGACATTAATAGTTGGGACTTCAGGAGCTTGTGCGGAATCACTTGGTGTGGAAAGAATTTCAGGATTCATTACTGGAACAGAATGTGTTGGAGCTTGTGTCAAAGGTGCATCACATTGTGGTTGAGGTGCTGATTTTTGTGCATCTGACCCCCACAACCTCACAATACCACAATACCATTCCTTACCTTTTCCACTCACAAAACAATATTTATTTACAGCTTTCATTCCAATAGTCACAACTTTGAATTCACTGCACAAACTATGAAATTGGAATTATTCTTTAGTCACGAATAGTCAATAAATGCTTATATTACCTTCTAATCCCTGTGGATACGATATTTTTACTACTTGAACGGCCGGTATACTTGCCGTGTTTGAGACCGTTGATAGAATTAAACGAATTTACAAATATTAACAAAAGTGTTTCAACGGAAATCTCAACAATAGTCATGTCATAATTACTCCTCATAAGGTCCGCACAGGAATTCACAGAGAGCATTCTTATTCATATTAAAACTTATTTATTTTTAACATTAATTACACATTCATTTATTACTTCCAAGAAGGAATAAAGTAGAAAAAATAGAAAATAAAAAAGAACACATTAATACTTTGCATGTTCCTAGAAGCATGCAACAGGCAAGGCAAGGGATTGGGGGCCAATCCGACAATCAGACTAACCAACAATTATTCCCACACCCCCGAGCGAGGTTTCTCACTCCCCCCTTACCTGGAAAATTTTATTAATTCAAGTGATTTGGAACTTGTGTTCGTTAACTAAGGGTTGAAGTTCATTCCAACACATAAGTATAGAGTTACAATTTTATGTATTATTTTACTTTCAATAAGGGTCGACTTAGTAGAGGGAGTTATACCTTCTTATTAAGTTAAAAATGATATGATTTTTATATCAAATTTTAATAATTTAAATGTTAAATTAGAAATTTTTAATGCATAGAACGAGTCTACAATTTTTCAAGAAATTTGAAGATTATTTGATACTTTATTTCATTAATTCAAATTGATGAATAATCATAAAAATATTTTATGCATTGATTTCAATTTATATAATGAAGTATTATATGTTTTTTAAATTTTTTTATAAATTTGTAGACTTATCTATACATTAGAAACTTTTAAGTTAATAATTGAATCGCTGAAATTTAATATAAAACATGAGTTATTGAGTGGAATACATGTATCAAGAATTACTCTTTGAGTAAGTGAAACTTTCTCCTATATACAGAGAGAGGATCTGTTTATTTCAAGAGTAAATTTACCAAGACTTACTTTACTTAATAACGCGTATTTTATATCAAATTTTAAATATCTAACCATTCAATTTAAATTTCTTAATGCAGAGATCAAGTCTGCAAATTTTAAAAAACAATTGAAAACTATATGATACTTTATTTCATTAATTCAAATTAATAGATAATCATAAAAAACATTTTATATGTTGATTTATATTATTGAAACGAAAAATCAAATATTTTTCAAATTTTTTAAAAACTTGCAAACTTGATATCTATGCATTAAGAACTTTTAAATTAACGGTTGAATTGTTAAAATTTGACATATAACATAAGTTATTGAACGGAGTAAGTTTAGATAAACTTACTCTTGTAATAAACGGATCCCTCTTCATTCTTATTTTCCCCAACACTAAATAAAAAGACATCATATTTCCATTGACAAATATAGCTAGTTAGTTAGTAGCTACCAACCAACTATTAACATCTCAGTTAACTTAGATGGTTAGAATTTAACTCAATTGTCACCATCACATAAAGGCAGCACGTAATTGATTCTATTCATTCATCAACTCAATCAATCTCAGAATGATTTTTCTCTCCGTTTCCATCACTTTCATCTAGTTCTCTCAATCAGTTACATTGCTCCATTTCACCTTCCACCTTCACTATTAAGCAAAATCCACGTGAGTCTCACCGAATAACAAAGATTAAACACACAAATTCATCTCAAAAAATAGCAACATAAGTTGATTTGGTCCTAGAAAGTTACAACCTAGTCTCCACATCACTCAACTCACCGACTCTCTCTATGAATTCAGCATTTGCTCGCGAAGCCATGCATTGCATTGGCAACGGCGAAAGGAGAAACCGAACTGACCCCGTCGACGACGGCGTCGTAGAAGCGAACGTCGTCGTGGGCGAAGGCGTGAGAGGCGCAGACCCTAGCGCCGCCGAGGGCGAGTTGGCGGCACTCGGAGTCCTGAAGCTGCTTGGAGAGGGGTCGGAAGCGTTCCTTCAAGTCCTCCAACTCTTCCCAGTCGCTAAACTGCGAGGCTTCAAAGACGTCGTCGTTTTCGGCGGAGAAGTTCTCGTACTTCACTACAAGAGATTCTCCCTCCAACGACACGCACACGGTGTACCAAGCATCGTCCCTGTATGCTCTGAACTCCGTCGCGTATTTTGCCGCCCTTCTTTCGCTACTTTCCTTCTCGGGTAACATTTCTGCTTTTCACTCGCCACCTTCTTCTGTGTGTTGCACTTGCACCCCTTCATATTCTAACATTTTAGGACCATATTAATTAATATTAGTGTACTAATTTCCTCGTGCCCAAGGCAAACAGTTTCAAGCAATTAAAGTAAAGCATTTTTATTCTCTTTCTATTTAAAATAAATAAATAAATATATAAAAAAATAATTTTCTCTCCCTCAATATTATTTCTACTAAAAATTATAATTTTGGAGCGGTGTTCTTTGGTTCGGGGATCGAGCGGTGTTTTTTGGTTCGGGGATCTTTTGCTGCACTCGAACGGTCTAACGAGTTGACGTATCTTAGGAGAAGAGCGCACTATAAGGCTCAAAATTACCAGTGCAGTGGGGGCGTTTTCTCTCTAAGGATAGCGCTCTGCGTGCTTCAACCCAGGCTACTCTAAACTTCTTATCTAATAATTTTATTTACTCTTTGTGTTTAAGTAGTTGTTACTGATTGCTCTGTTTTAAATTTTATAATATTCATTGTGTTGTTGATATTGGTTTTATTAATAAATCTAAATATTTAATTTTTCTTGTGCTCTATTAAATTTATTTTTCTAACAATCTTAGAGAGAAAAATTTTCTTTTCTTGTTCAATATCAACATGTCTGCAATGGATATTTTAAATTCTTTGAGTAGTAAGCCAGAAAAATTTACTGGTGAAAATTTTTTATGCTGGCAACAACAGATGAAATTTTGGCTTACGGAGTTGAATTTATTTTCTGTTATTTTAAATGAAATATCTGAAAATTGTCTTGATTGTGCCTTGGTTGAAGCTGGTTCTTCTAGTGATAAAGATATTTTGTGTCATGGTTGTATTTTAAGTGCTCTATCTGATAATATTTATAAAATATTTTGTCATACAAAAACTGCTTTGGAGTTATGGGACGCTCTTGAACTAAAGTATGGTTCTGCTAAAAAGGGTTTAAGAAAATACTCTTGTGAAAGAATGATTTATTTTCAAATGGAAGATGGAAAACCTTTCTCTGACCAAGTTCATGAATTTGAAAATATTATTTATGATATGAAAATGAAAGAAATTACTTTGCCTGACATAATGCTTGTTAGTTTGTTAATTTCTAAATTGCCTCCTTCTTGGTCTGAATTTGCAAGAAGCCTTAAACATAAACCCGATCACTTTTTCTTTATCTGATTTATTGGTTACCTTGCGAATTGAAGATAAACATCGTATTTCACAAAAGGTTTCTAATCCCTTTTCAGGCTAAGACTCATTTAGTGGAAAACGCTAATAAGCCTAAACAAAAAATTTTCAAAAAATATGGTTTTTCCAATAATAATAAATTTGGTCAAAGCTCTCATTTCTCTAAAAATAAAAACAAAGCTTTTAATAACAACTACAAACCAAAGAGTAAAATTCAAGGAAATGAGTCCTTTTGCTTTGTTTGTGGAAGAAACAATCATTTTGCTAAAGATTGTTTTCATCGTCGTCGTCAACCAAAAGACAGTACATCTGATCTCAAATCTTCGTCTCAGTCTCAAGCTAATGTTATTACCGCTAATGCTAGCTTGGTTTCCCCATCTAACAGGTATCATGTCACTAGCCCAGAGTTAAATTTTATTTATAACTCAAATGATTGGTGGATTGACTCTGGAGCTAATGTTCATGTGTGTGCTGATAAAAAAATATTTTCTTCATATCAGGAATGTGGCACACGTACTGTAAGCATGGGGAATGGGAGCCTAGCGCACGTCATTGGTCTAGGCCGAGAGAATTAGAATTATCTTCTGGAAATTGTCTTGTTTTAGATGAAGTTTTTCATGTTTCTGATATTAGAAAAAATTTGATTAGTGCTGCTTTGTTAGTTCAACAAGGTTTTAAAGTTTTTTTGAATCCAATAGAGTTGTAATTTCTCGACATGGTTCTTTTGTTGGGAAAGGATATACTTGTGATGGTTTATTTAAACTTAGTATCATGTCTTCCTTTATTAATAAAAATTCTAGCATTTCTTCATCTTCTATTTCAAATGTTGAATGTTGTGATATTTGGCATGGTAGACTTGGACATGTTAACTTGAATTCTATTAAAAGAATGATGATTATCCTTTTTCTTCACTCTTATGTCACATTTAACAGACAGGTGGAACCTTTATCCAATTACTGTCTTGCTTTTTTCAAAATGGAATCAAATACCTAAGCATCCCTAATTGAATCCATCTTATTAAAGATTAATTTAATGCATATAATAAGTTAGTGCATATCCTAATTAGAATTTGACAATGAAAGCTATTTTTACCATTGATGCAATTTTACCTCAGATTATTGTTTATTTTTTAACCATTTTCCTTTGTTCTACAGAGATACTAGATCCTGTAAAAAAAGAAGGCCATAGGTGGATCCTTTGATAGAGGTTAGTGTGAAAGTCATTTTAAATTAAAACTCAATTCTTTTTCACTTATGCTAATTCTAGCCAATTCCAATTACAGCATAAATAGTTGTATTTTGCAGTTACTGTTTTTTGTTTTTATTAATATATATTAATATATATGTATTGTTCATCCAAAGTTGCAATGCTAGAAACACATCCTCCAGCTGGGAGGTACTATCACATGGCTCATTGGTTGAGTTTGGTTAGTTAGATGATGGTGATTAAGTTAAATTATTAGTTATTTTCCTCCTCCAACTTGTTGATTTCACCGCTAAATAATGCACTAAACCCACAAGAAAACATAATCAATTAATTGTCTAGGCTAAAACAAAAACATACACACAACATTAATCTGTGTATGTCATTCTTCTTTACCCAAAATTCAATTGTCATGTAAAACACCAAAGACGAGAAACATGAACTAAAAAAAAATTTGAAACCAAAATTTGAAAATAAACAGAAATTTTCAAATTTCAGTGACATGCAAAAATAAACAAATAAATAAAAAGAAAGCTTGGACAGAGAAGAAGTGTAAGAACAGGCACACACACAGGATTGGCTTGCCCGACTTGCAATTTTGATGCGGAACCTTGTCGCCTTAATAATTGTAAAAAAATGGTGTTTTATGGGTCACCGTCGTTTTCTAAGCAGAAATCATAAATTTAGATTGAATCGTGTTCGTTTTAATGGAAACACAGAAGAACGAAACCCACCATTAAAATTATCTGGATCTGACATTTTTCGACAAGTGGAACATATTAATATTACATTTGGAAGTGGAGCCATTCAAAATGGAACAATAAAAAGATCTAGACAAGAAACTGCACAGTGGAATAAAAAAAGCATATTCTTTTGAACTTCCATATTGGGAGACTAATTTGTTGCGACATAATCTAGATTTTATGCATATTGAGAAAAATGTATGTGACAATTTGATGTATACATTGCTCCATGAGAAGGATAAATCAAAAGACAACCTTAATGCTCGAAAAGATTTAAAAGAAATGGGCTTAAGGCATGATCTTTGGCCAGATGATAATGGAAGATATCACCTTGCTTTGTTTTCACTGACTCGCGATACCAAAAAGTTATTTTTGGAAACTTTGAAGACTATTACAGTGCTAGATGGTTACTCAAGTAACATTTCCAGATGTATTGATGAGAAACTTAACAAAATATCTGGGTTGAAAAGTCAGAGTAAATCTTTGTAGATTTAATTCATTGAATAATTCATATTTTATATTAAATTTTAATGATTCAACTGTTGAATTAAATATTTTTAATGTATAGATAAAGTATACAAATTTTTGTATAGTTTGAAAAAATATGATACCTTATTATTTAAATTCAAATTAACATATAAAATACTTTTATGAATATTCGTCAATTTAAATTAATTAAATGAAATGTCAAATATATTTTAATTTCTTTAAAAAATTGCATATTTCATCTATAAATTAAAAATTTTTAACTTAACAATTAGATCATAGAAATTCAACGTAGACTATGAGTTATTAAGTGAAGTAAGCCTATTAAGAATTACTCTTGGAGAGAAGCATCATTCATTAATTCAAATTGACGAATAATTATAAAATTATTTTATATATTGATTTAAATTTATATAACGGAGTATCAAATAATTTTTAAATTTTTTTAAAATTTACAAATTTTATATATACATTAAGAACTTTTAATTCAACAATTAGATAGTTAAAATTTAATGCAAAATATAAGTTAAATTTTTAGTTTAAGTATGTTAGCAACTTACTCCAAAATTTTAAGACAAAAAATTCACAATCACTTATATTTTTATTCATTTATTTTAGGACTATTTTAGTAATTTAATTTAAAAATAAAAACTAGTTTCACTCTCTATCATCTCTCCTTAAAAAAAAAATTTAACTCTCCTCGAAAAACGCATTTTTCACTTTTGACTTCTTTTCTTCTATACACTCTGAAGACCAAGGGGGACTCAGAGGAAGAGATTAGCAATGTCTTGTTTTGGTTTCAGCTCCTGCTTATCGAGGTAAGGGGGGAGTGAGAAACATTGCTTTGGGTGTGGGAATGTATGCTCATGTATGAAAGGTTTTCCCCAATTATATCTGTTTCATCTATTGTTCCTCTTGTATGTAATTAATTGTATGAATTGCTTGAATGAATGATTAATTTCAGTTTTAAAATTGTAATTGTATGATTTGAAATTTCTGCGGGTTCCTACGGGAAACCCTATGAGAAGTAGACAAATTTTTAAATGTTATTTAAATACAAATGTATAATTTTGAGATCTCTATGGGTTCCTATGGGAAACCCTAAGGGAATGAATTTGTAATTGTAACAGACAAAATATGAACATTTTCTGTTTTGTTTTCTGATTGCTCTATTGTGTTTCTTGTTGAATGAGATGAATGAATATGTGTTTAGTTTTGAAAATAAACAAGTTTTGATATGAATTAGAGTGCTCCGTGAGTTCCTGTGAAAACCTTATGAGAAACAGACAAATTTTAAATGTTTTCTGTTTTATCTCCTGATTTTTCTGTTATGTTCCTTGATGTTTATGGAGTGTAAATATGTGTTTAATTTTGAAAATAGACAAGTTCTAATATAGATTAAAGTGCTCTGTAAAAATTGTGAATGACATGTGATAATGTGATATGACAATGAAATGTGAATATAATGATGAGATATGATGATGAAATATGATGATAAATGTGGTGATAAAATGTGATGATGAAATGTGATGATGACTATGTGATATGAGAATGAGACATGATAATGTAATATGAGGATGCATAGAGTCTTGATTGACATGCATCATGTGCATAAATGTTTTTAAGGGTACGACATGGAATACATGCCAGAGAAGGCCCCCTCGTGTAAAAGCTTTGGGGATTAGTCCTTGGAGATAGCTCAGTTTGTAAGTCTCAGTCTCGCCCATTGTGTGCATGGGATGTATCTTGCGCGGCTTAGCTATCCCGACGAGACTCTGGTAGCATGTCCTTCTAGTGAGAATGCGTAGAGGGTGTGACCAACCATGTACTCCTAGACTACTCTTCGTGTATTGCTAGCAGCAATATGCCATGTGATATGTTATTGGCGCCACATGCATGATAAAATGTAGTCTGTGTCCATCCATGTGCATTTTAATGTTATATGATAAATTGATATTTTTATGTCTTGAATGAGTGAGATGTGATAGTATTATTAATTTATCTATGTTATATATGTTTTGTTTGTGTTTGGCTATCCGGTGTATATTCCTACACTGTGAGCCAAAATGAGATGTTTCTCACTCCCTTATCTTGTGTTGTTTTCCTTGATTGCCTTACAGGTTATAATCAGCATGAGGCTGAAGATGTTGGTGATGAAGTTTAGGCTTTTATTTTGGGATTTGCTCTGATAGGACATGTGACATCGAGCGTAGATAGGATTAGATTAAAATGTTTTTATTAAATTATTTTGGAAATTTTAGTTTTATTTCTTTGTAATTTTCGCTGATTTTGTTAAGTTATGGATGTGGTACTCTCTATCTGAACACGTTTGATATTTTAATTATGAAATGTTATGTTATTCAAATTTTATTATTATGTGTTATAGTATGCGGGGTAGAGGGTGTCACAATAGAGATTATTTGAGACCTTGATACTAAAATCTTTTTGAGTACTTTTTGGTTAGTACCCTTGACCTTACTCTTACTTCTTTATTTCTATTTGTTTTTGCATTTGCTAGGGTGATGATTACTTTTTTGCGAATGTTATATCTAGAGAATGATGTATTAAACTCTGGCTTATTGAACCTAAGACCACGTTTTTCGAATGGTGATCTTTTAAGCTTTAGTAACATATTCATTTTAGAAGATCCATCCACAAATATAGCAAGATCCTTCCTAAGTTATACCTTTTTTCAGCTTCCAATGTTGTAACCTCAAGTGGTTTATTACTTGTGATGTTAAATTGTTGAAATTTAATGTAAAATATGAATTGTTGAATTGAATAAGTTTATATAGATTTATTCATAGAATAAACGATTTATATATATATAATCAAAATAAATAAGGTTAAATTTTGAATATATAGATTGAATTTTCTCTATAAAATTAAATTCTAAGTTTGATATATTATTTATTGTAGAATTTTTTTATGTATAGTCTAGTCTATTCAAAAGTTTGATTTAGTCTATTAATCTATTTAAAAGTTTATTTTATATTAATAATGACAAATGGACCAATAAATTTAATTATAAATAACAAATCTATTTTTAAACATGCATGAGAAACTTTTTTTTTTTAATCTTTTGTAATACTTGTTTACTCTATTATTATTAAAATTTAGAGTTTAAAATTAACATATTGTAAACTCACACATAGGTTAATAAAAAAAATATTATAAAAAATACTTTCTAAATATTTGCTATATCTCAATTAAAATATTATGAATAAATAACCATAAAAATAGGTGAAAACATGACTACTAAATTTTTTATTTTCTATTTCTTGATTTACTATAAATAAAAAAAGGTCAAACATTTAATTAAAACAATGAAAATAATAAAATATTAATAATTTAATTTTTTATACTATAAATTAATTTATATTTATTATTAATGATATATATATGTTATTTTTTATTATATTATATTATATAAATAAATAAATTGACGTATCAACTATCGCAATTAAAAGGTAAAAATAATAGGGATGGCAAAACGGGCCAGCCCGGCCCGTTTGGTTAAAAAATAAACAATAATCTGAGGTAAAATTGCATCAATGGTAAAAATAGCTTTCATTGTCAAATTCTAATTAGGATATGCACTAACTTATTATATGCATTAAATTAATCTTTAATAAGATGGATTCAATTAGGGATGCTTAGGTATTTGATTCCATTTTGAAAAAAGCAAGACAGTAATTGGATAAAGGTTCCACCTGTCTGTTAAATGTGACATAAGAGTGAAGAAAAAGGATAATTTGTTGGATAAAAAACTCACTCTATATCATCCCATGTAACGAAGGACAACATAAATACTTACTTCTTTTTTTTGTCTTATCTTGATTATATTGGTTAGAATAAGAGCTTTAAAACGATGTGCAATGCAAACAAACATCATGATATCTTGAATATTAGAAACAAACATAAAGTGAGGTTACCTTACCCCATTAAGAAGACAATAAAATAAAATAAAAAATACACATCTAATTATTGAAAGGTAAGTCTAGAAGATCACTGATATAGAGCCATGAACAAAGTCATTGGATAAGTCAGCCAAAAAGGAAAATGAATTATTAGATTTATAAGCAACAAAACCAATTTTTTTCCTTAAATGTTTTTCCAATTCAGATCCTTAAACGCTCTCAAAGGAACCAGTAGAATGGAAAATCAAAACAATCCCATAAAAATAAATCTTTGATGAAAGAAAAAAGTATAACAGATTGAACATTACTAAAGTGATAACAGAAAAGAAAAAAGTATAACAGAAAAGAAAAAAAAAACCAATACTAAAGTGCAAAAACCAAGAGCCATAGTTCTTTTTTCTTTTCATTTCCCAACGCTTTCTCAGAAACTAATGAACATTCACAAAAATCACACTCAACACTCTACAGTACTAACCAAAACCAGACATATGCTGGATGTTTTATATTCTCCAGGAAACCAAACAGCAATTAAAAAAGCACAAAGCAGTACATCAAGAAAATAGTAACTCAAGTAAAAATAGTAACTGCAAAATACAACTATTTATGCTGCACCTCCAGCAGCACCCAAAACCAGCAACACCTGCAACACAATTCCACAACACAAAGAGAAGAGATAGTACAATAAACAAGAAGAGAATCAAATTCAAAGTACAGATACACACCTAATGTCAACTGTGCCCTGTATAACAACTAATAACTTGTCAGTCTCCAAGTACTCACTCTACCATATTTCTCATAAATGGCAAGTGAACCTGAAGAAGAAAAAAATTGTTTTAAGAAAATTTTCCCTACAAGAGGAGGAAGAGGAGTAGTACAATATCAAGCATGCCATATTGTGGAGACTGGAGACACTGGGTTGCTCAATATGTCAAGTTACATCTTAATGAAGTTGCCAAAAATTCCCCAGAACATTTTCTCTACCCATAACGGCCAAAAAGAGCCCCTCCCCGTCACTTAAAACATCATGTAACATATAATAATTCATTATTCTAATTCTCTTTTCCTTATTTAAGGCAGGTGGGATATATACATATGTGCAAACAACACAAGTACACAACAATGAATCACAGACAAATTTCAATCACAAAGAAAACCAGAAACATACATAACATGCAACAGTACCAAAATAGAACAAAATGTCTGTTGAGGTCAGTATTCAAGCAGGTATATAAGAATATAAATAAATAAATAAAAACTAAATAGAGAAAAATCTTAGAATAAACCTCAAGAGCGGCTTTTCCTGATCCTTCACAAGAGCGATACAGTTTAAGAACCTAACATAAGTTACACAACCAAACGAGAAGTTAGACAACTATATTCAATGAACATTTCTTTACAACCAAATTCCAAAAGCATTTCGCATTTTCATAGTAATAAGTTTATCTCATTTTACTCACTCTACAAATGGTGTGACTATTGTGCAATTGAGGAGCATATACCGATGAGCTTGCAATTTTTGCATTGGAGTTAAAGTGAACATTGAGCAAGCTCCTACTGGTATACCAATTTGTGGGAAGATAGAAGACATAAAAGAAGTCTCATTATCAATTGGATCATCACAAACACGTTTAGGTTTATTGAACCTTGTCTCAATATCTTCAATGTACCGAGAACAAAAGGTAAGGGACTCTTCAGCTAAATACCCCTCAGCTATGGATCCTTCAGGTTGTGCCTTATTTCGCACAAAAGATTTTAAGTGACCTAATTCCCTACATAAATGATTAACAATTAGAGAGCACTAGTAAGATATTTGAAATATGACATCATGAATTAAAGTTATTAAAATGTTTACCTCTCCACTGGATACATATATCGATAATGCACTGGGCCTCCAAGTTTTGCTTCCTCTATGAGATGAACAGTTAAATGAACCATAACTGTGAAAAATGACAGAGGGAATAACATTTCTAAGTGGCATAGTGTAACCACAACGCGATCTTGGAGCAATTGAAGTTCTGGAATATTTAAGCCTTTACCACAAAGCATTCTAAAAAAAGAACAAAACTCCACTAAGACAGAAGTCACATGGTCTGGCAACAAGTTACGAATTGCTAGTGGTAGCAATTGTTCCATAATAATATGGCAATCGTGACTTTTCAACCCAGATATTTTGTTAAGTTTCTCATCAATACATCTGGAAATGTTACTTGAGTAACCATCTAGCACTGTAATAGTCTTCAAAGTTTCCAAAAATAACTTTTTGGTATCGCGAGTCAGTGAAAACAAAGCAAGGTGATATCTTCCATTATCATCTGGCCAAAGATCATGCCTTAAGCCCATTTCTTTTAAATCTTTTCGAGCATTAAGGTTGTCTTTTGATTTATCCTTCTCATGGAGCAATGTATACATCAAATTGTCACATACATTTTTCTCAATATGCATAAAATCTAGATTATGTCGCAACAAATTAGTCTCCCAATATGGAAGTTCAAAAGAATATGCTTTTTTTATTCCACTGTGCAGTTTCTTGTCTAGATCTTTTTATTGTTCCATTTTGAATGGCTCCACTTCCAAATGTAATATTAATATGTTCCACTTGTCGAAAAATGTCAGATCCAGATAATTTTAATGGTGGGTTTCGTTCTTCTGTGTTTCCATTAAAACGAACACGATTCAATCTAAATTTATGATTTCTGCTTAGAAAACGACGGTGACCCATAAAACACCATTTTTTTACAATTATTAAGGCGACAAGGTTCCGCATCAAAATTGCAAGTCGGGCAAGCCAATCCTGTGTGTGTGCCTGTTCTTACACTTCTTCTCTGTCCAAGCTTTCTTTTTATTTATTTGTTTATTTTTGCATGTCACTGAAATTTGAAAATTTCTGTTTATTTTCAAATTTTGGTTTCAAATTTTTTTTTAGTTCATGTTTCTCGTCTTTGGTGTTTTACATGACAATTGAATTTTGGGTAAAGAAGAATGACATACACAGATTAATGTTGTGTGTATGTTTTTGTTTTAGCCTAGACAATTAATTGATTATGTTTTCTTGTGGGTTTAGTGCATTATTTAGCGGTGAAATCAACAAGTTGGAGGAGGAAAATAACTAATAATTTAACTTAATCACCATCATCTAACTAACCAAACTCAACCAATGAGCCATGTGATAGTACCTCCCAGCTGGAGGATGTGTTTCTAGCATTGCAACTTTGGATGAACAATACATATATATTAATATATATTAATAAAAACAAAAAACAGTAACTGCAAAATACAACTATTTATGCTGTAATTGGAATTGGCTAGAATTAGCATAAGTGAAAAAGAATTGAGTTTTAATTTAAAATGACTTTCACACTAACCTCTATCAAAGGATCCACCTATGGCCTTCTTTTTTTACAGGATCTAGTATCTCTGTAGAACAAAGGAAAATGGTTAAAAAATAAACAATAATCTGAGGTAAAATTGCATCAATGGTAAAAATAGCTTTCATTGTCAAATTCTAATTAGGATATGCACTAACTTATTATATGCATTAAATTAATCTTTAATAAGATGGATTCAATTAGGGATGCTTAGGTATTTGATTCCATTTTGAAAAAAGCAAGACGAGATTATTTGAGACCTTGATACTAAAATCTTTTTGAGTACTTTTTGGTTAGTACCCTTGACCTTACTCTTACTTCTTTATTTCTATTTGTTTTTGCATTTGCTAGGGTGATGATTACTTTTTTGCGAATGTTATATCTAGAGAATGATGTATTAAACTCTGGCTTATTGAACCTAAGACCACGTTTTTCGAATGGTGATCTTTTAAGCTTTAGTAACATATTCATTTTAGAAGATCCATCCACAAATATAGCAAGATCCTTCCTAAGTTATACCTTTTTTCAGCTTCCAATGTTGTAACCTCAAGTGGTTTATTACTTGTGATCTTTTGTTTGAGAGTCTAAATCTCTCTAGTAATGTTTGACAGATCATTCTTGAGTTTTTCATTTTCCATTTGTGGTAATTTTCATTTTCTTTAATTTTATTGTCCTTAAGAATGATCATGTGAGTTTGTCATAATAGTTTCATAGAACATCTCTTTTTCATCAGAACTATAGAATAATGGGAGTTAGAGTCAAAGTTTACCTCTGATCTTGTTTCATCAATGTCTATCATGAGATAGATGTCGGCCTTCTCATTATCAGATCGTTACCACTATTACTGTCCAGATCTTCTTAAGTGACCATTAGACTATTCTTTCCATTTTTATTGTTGGTCCTTTGTTTTTGAGTGTTGGACATTCAACCTTCATATGTCCAAACTTTTACACTCATAGCAAATGAACGATTTGATTTCTTCTTAGACAGGTCTTTTGAACCTATTCTTCTTTTTGTGGAAACCCTTTTATCTCTCTTTCTTCTTAAGCACGTTCTTAAACTTTCTCATTTGAGCCTAACATCTTTAATGCCTGATGAGTTACCCTGATGATTTCCCACATTTCTTTGGCAGTTTTGCAACTACAAAACTTGTATTCTATTCTTGACAAAGAGCAAACCTAGATGTATCTTACTTTGGTGTTGAGTTATAGGGTGTTGTAGTCATCTAGTGTGTACTCACTTTCTACCTTGGTTACTGCAACATCACCATCTTAGGATGAACATCTCCATCTTGTCTTTCTAATATGGGTAGTCTTCTCAATTAAAGGTTGGTGTCCTTGTTAGAGAAACTCTTTTAGGTAAGTACTTACCTTCACTGCTTTCCATCTTAGGATATTTTCCTTTAGCAGGATTAGAAGCTCAACCTTATTAAAGACTAAGCTCTGATACCAAACTATGGAGAAAAAAGACACTAAAAGGGATGTTGAATAGTATCAATAAAAAACTCCACTTTTTTCCAAAACACTAAAATAATTATGAAGCCTTATGAGTGCATATGAAGAGTTAAGAGAAATGAACACACAATTTTTTTAATATTGGTTTGTCTTAATTACCAAGACGATGTTCAATTCTTGATTAACCGATCAAGTTTCACTATCTTTTACAAAGATACAAATATTCTTTCACAAACCACTTTTAACTCAACCTAAGTGCTCTTTGATTTGCCTTTTTAAGTAACTACCTAAGTACTTTTTGAACACAAAGCCTCTCTAGGATTTAATAACTAAGTATTCTTTTACAATAAGACATTTTTAGGCTCTAACAACTAACTAATATTTTATAGAAAGGCCTCTTCAATCTCAAAGTAATAACACAAAGTTAAAGCTAGGAAATCACTTTGTTATTTCATCTTACTATAATGACATGATACAACCAATTAAGTACAAATCTCTTACAAAAAGAATGTATATAAATTTTTATAACTGTTGTTTTTCTATCTCTATGTATGTATATATGTGTCTGTGTATCTTTTCTGAATCTTCAATCTTCATTATATAGGTGCTTTATGAATATAATTATTTCAAATCCTTAAGCGTCCTTCATAAGTTTGCTTCATCTATCTTCATCTTCATTCCTCATGGAGGGAAGTGTCCATTGGTACATTAAATGTGGACAATAAATACGTTTCACTAAATTGTCACTTCGTATGTGATCAAGGAAATTATTTATCACCTTTTTGGTACCAAAAGAGAGGAGTTGTTGCCTGTGTTAGTCATAACAACTTTTTCTAGGACTTTGTGTGCTTTGAAGGATTTACTTGTCTTTTCTCTAATGTAAAGCATGTTTGTGTTCCTTTTTGTAATTTGGGTACCATAAAAGTTTTTTATTCCTTTCAATCAGTTAAGGAATATCATAGATAAAGATGATTTGGTTATCATAATCATAATTGATATATATATATATATATATATATATTAATTCAATTAATCAATAATATAATGTATAATCACATAAATTAGTAATTAATAAAAAGAAATAAAAAGTATGATAAGTGAGCCAATTAGTTTATAATGAGTTGATTCATGATAAATCAAGTTGCGAGT